CGAGCTAAAGCTGAGGTTCATGAACCGGGTCAATGAACCGGGTCAGGTCGAACTGAACAGAACCTTGTGGCTCTGCTCCGCAGCCTCTCTGCCAGCACCCTGTCCTGTTCGTCGGGCAGCAGTCGAGGCTCGCTGACGTCCAGCCGCGGCTCCCTCGCCACCACCTCCAGCATGGGCTCCTCCTCCTCCCTCAGCTTCACGGACATCTACCTGGAGCAGCCCGAGCTGGCCGACCCGGACCTGCGGGCCAAGCTGGAGGATCTGCTGCAGGACGGGGGTCCGGGCGGCTACCGCCCATCTAGCTCCATCACCACCATCCACGAGCACGAAGTGGTGACGGGCTGCGGCGGGGGGAGCACGGGGGGAGACGCAGGAGGTCCCGGTGTCGGACCGGAGTCCTCCAGGATCCAGGCGCTCAGACTGTCGGAGACCCCTCGCTCTATGAGCTCGCTGTCCCCCCGGTCGTCCCTGTCCTCGCTGTCCCCGCCGTGCTCGCCGCTCGTCTCCGACACCGGCTTCCTGTCGGGGGAGGCGTTCTCTGGCCAGCAGGGGCCCGGCGGGCCGGGACTGGACCTGGAGCTTCGCAGCAGGCTGGCAGAGCTGGAGCTGGACTCTGAGGAGCAACGACGAGAGGAGCAGCGGGCGCTGGAGGAGAAACAGAACCACAACAATGAGCTGAACGAGGAGGGCAAAGGTGAGCGGGTCACCAGAACCCCCGGGACAAAAACACGACACAAACTTTATTCATAAAGCAAGAGGAAATATAAATCCAAATACCAGAGTCATCCATGAGTAGCAACAAACAAACAAATAAACAACAAATAAACAAACAAACCTGACAGAACAAACGTTCAGTAAACCAAATGTTCACTGCTTTGAAGTTGAACTGATGAGAAACACGATTCTATTGAAGTGTTAGTCCTCCTCCTCCTCCTCCATCATCTCTTTATCTCCTCCTCCTCCTCCTCCTCCTCCTCCTCCTCCTCCTCCTCCTCCTCCTCCTCCTCCTCCTCTCTCTGGTGTTAACAGTTTTCTTCATATTTTCATATCTGAGCATCATTTTTCATAAAATTCATAGAATTATTATCGAGTTTTGTTCTTTCTGCTCTGGGTGGGTTTGGTTCTGGACGGTCCGGTTCAGTAGACATGTGGATCTTCTTTGCGTCGTGACAGACGAATCAGAAACCCCGAAGCTTCGAGGACTGCAGATTACCCAGAATCCTCGTTTTTATGTATTTAATTAATTTTAAAGAGGAAAAGATCAAAAGAAATCGGGCCTGGATCGTCGTCATCATATTTGCTGTTTTCCAGCAGGTTCTGCAGAACGTATCCAGCATCACATCACATGAAGAGACACACTGACACCACATTGTTGGGTTTGTGTGTGAGGAGAACCGGACCAGGTGGAGGTGTCGGGTCACAGCTCAGAGTCAAAACGGGCCTCAGAACAGAACTCTGTGGAATTATTTCCACAGAGTTCTGTTCTGATGGATTCAGATTAAAGGAGCTGCTGTCGGTGAGAGTCCGGCGGGCTTCGAGTCAGACTTCAGCTGTTGGACTCAGGTTCCTCTCAGAACCGCAGGTGAAAGGGAGCCGAGGTGTCCGGTTTCCTGTCGGCTCGTTTCCAGGTTCTGATCAGACGTGCAGCACTTTCTCAGGACGGCGTCGAGTCCGAACATTTCACCCTCTCAACCCGACGCCTTTCTCTTTAACGCCGACCGTTTGGACCTGCAGGTTCCAGAGTTCTGACTTTTAGCTGTTATCTTTAATCCGACCGCTCGAAGTTTAATGTCTACGTGTTTTTCCTGAACCTCCACCAGAATAAAAACATGTAGGTTTAAAAACGTGCAGAGCTTTACACTGACAGCCCACGCTGAGTAACGAGTTGGAGCCGAACTTCCTGCCATTTCCTGTGAAAACTCTGGATGGCTGATTTCTGCTGAACAAGCTGAAACAAGCTGAAAAAGTTTCATCGCTAACTGTTAGCATAACTGCTAATGTGAGCTGAATTTGACCAGCTGACATTAGCTGAAACCAAGAAAATAAAAGCAGCCAAGAAAACCACAGAAATGTGTAGAAAAAGGTGAAGTAGTTGTAGAGAGGCTGAATCACAAAACAACCTGAAATGAGCAAAACATGAACTGGAATGAGCAGAAAAAAAGCTGAAGCTAGCAACAAAATAGTAGCTGAAACTGTTGAACGTAGCAGTGAGAGGCTGAACGCTGCATAAAAAGATTTAATTACTTTGAAAAAAATCACAAAGGAAATTAAATAAAACCTCAGAGAAAAAGCTAAAATTAGCAGGAAAAAAAACTTAAAAGTAGCTGAAAAAGCTGAACTTTTCTAAAAGAAGCTGCGAGGATCATAAAAAGCTGAAATGAGCAGTAAAAGTTACAAAATTAATGATTTAGAAATGTTCAATCAGGTGACGTTTCCCTCAGAGGGTGTGCTGTGGATGACTTTCAGCTACTACCACTTGACCGTTGAGCTCAGTTTGTGTCAGATTGGCCGAGTTACAACCATCTTTGTGTTAGCTAATGTCAGTTATCTGTTGCGGCCATCTTGAAATGGTCTTGTTGTTCAGACCAGCAGGTGACCGTTTGAAGTTAAGCTTTACTTAAACTTCTTGTTTCTGTGTCCGCTCCCGAGTTTCTGCTAAATATGTGTCAGATTTACTGGGTCAGAGCCATCTTTGTGTTTTTTAAGATTGTAGAGTTACATTCAAGGATTAGGTCTCCAAAGTTTCATTAAAGTCTGTCCAGTGGTTCACAAGATATTTTGCTAACAAAGAGAAACAAACCAAAACATGACCTCCTTTTCGCCGTCCATGGCGGGCCATAAAAAACTTTTAAAGCTTCTCAGAAGGATCAAGTAATGACTGTGTTTTAAAGTCTCCTTTTTCATTAAATTAAGCTCCTCAACGACGAGGGGTGGGGCCTAAGAAGATGGGCGTGACCTCGGCTGTGTCTGACGAGTCGGTGGCCGGCGACAGCGGAGTTTATGAACCTTCAGAGCGAAAGTAGGTGACATTTTTTAAAATATTCCCTTTAAGTCAAAAACCTTTCCTGCCAACTGAAGTCTTCGTTTCAAAAACCTTTAAAGGGATCTCCACTTACTTTCACATATTGGCCTTATTAACGTGTTATATTTCTATTAACTCTTAACTACTTAATTAAAAAATTGTGTGTTTATTACATTTTTCACTAAATTGTCAGTTTTTTTTTAAATCACAATGCATTCTGGGAGGATGACCTACATTGATTGTATTAGAGACTAAACTACAAGGAGTCAAACTAAAACGTTATAATGTGACAATAAAGTTATATTTTGTATTAATTCTTATGCGCAATTTAACGTCATATATATTAGCTCTGGAGCTAACATCATATATATATTAGCTCTGGAGCTAACGTCATATATATTAGCTCTG